AGCCAGCTGGGTGACTTTGGCCCAATCACCAGGAGGTGGTGAGTTCTTGTCCCGCCTTAGGCATGAAAGTGGCTCGGTGACTTTGGGCCAATCATCAGGAGACTGTTGAGTTCTAGTCCTCCCTTAGGCATGGAAGTGGCTGGGTGGCTTTGGGCCAATCACCAGGAGTTTATGAGTTCTAGTCCCGCCTTAGTCACAAAAGCCATCTGGGTGAACCAATCTGGGTGGACCAATCACCAGGAGACAATACATTTTAGTTCTGCCATAGGCATGAAAGCTGACTAGGTAACCTAATCACTAGGACATGGGTCAGCAACCCGCAGCTCTGGAGCCACATGTGGGTCTTTCATCCCTTTGCTCCCTGTTGCCAGTCAATTGATAGGGCTTTCAGTTAGGACAGGTAGAGGAAAAAGGATGCCGCGTTAGGAGGAGACTCTATGGTAGGAGAACTGGATTTCCAGTCAGCAGAGGAAAAAGGACGCCGCGCTAGGACGAGACTCTATGGCGGGTGAACCAGACTTCTGTTTGGCTCCAGAATTGAATGGGGGGCTTCCGGTTAGGACCTTTGCAGTTCTTTGAGTGTTTAAGGTTGCCGACCCCTGTACTAGGAGATTGTGAGTTCCAGTCCCAACTTAGCCTACCATCTTGTGGTGTTTGGCCAAAGTCGTCCAATTGACTTTCATGCCTAAGGCAGGGCTAGAACTCCCAGTCTCCAGGTGATTGTTCCAATTGACTTTCATGCCTAAGGCAGGGCTAGAACTCCCAGTCTCCAGGTGATTGTTCCAATTGACACTCGCGCCTAGGGCAGGACAAGAACTCATCATCTCCTGGTGATTGGGCCAAAGTCACCCAGCTGGCTTTAATGCCTACTGCAGGACTAGAATTCCCAGACTTGTGGCGATTCTCCCAGTCTCCCATTTTCTAGCCGGGTGCCTCAACAACTAGACCAAACTGGCTTTCTCCTCTTCCTTCCTAGGGTGAAGCACAGTCCCTGTCTACCATCTACCATCTGGTAAACCAAGCCTGTGAGCGTCTGATCCAGTGTAAGTACATCACAGCACAAAATCTTCCCTGTAATTTTCACCTCTGCAGCTGCCCCGGGGCTGCAGGGGCTGCTGTAAGTGAGATGTCAGATGGAAAACAAGATGTGTGTACTGTAGCTCAGCCGGATAATGTGTTCAGAAGCCTCACAGGGCTTTTGTCCAAAGCCAACTGAACAGGTTACACACCAGCCTATTATTGCCCTGTCTCTAGATCAGTTAATTTCATTTGCCTTCCAGTAGGGCTTCTTCTTCTGTCTCTCTTAAGAAATAGGAGGCAAGATTCCGACTTCTGATCAGAAATGTAAATTAAATGAAGGAGACTTTAAGCCAGATTGGTACAGGGTGAAGACAAGAATTTGGGAGACTCAGGTTCTAGTCTTTGTTAGGGATATACACCCTAGCAGAACCTGCACGGCAGTCAGGCAGTCAGGCAAATATGTGAGACAAATGTTTTTGTAGCTTACACTCAGTAAAAACAGATACAATGTGCTAGTTAAATAGTTTATTCCATAAGATTTTAGCATAGTCAAACAGTCCATATATCATACACTAGTTCAGTCCGTCCGGGGATTATTCAGTTACAAAGTCCAGTGTCGAAAAAGAGGTAATTAAACTTACAAATATCAGTCCAGTAATATATCTCTTCGCAGTAGAGATATGAAGAAGTAAAACCTCCTTTCTTCGTTCAGCAACAGCAGAGAACATGCAGTTAACAATCTATCATCGTCAGCAAGCAATCCAGTAAGCCAGCAATCAATCAAGTTCTCTTGCTCCCTCTTATGGCGATTTACAGCCGCACCCAAAATTACATGCTTTGCAGTTAAAGTGACACACACTTAAACTCACTATCATAGTCTATATATATTATTTTACCCAAACTACGTTAGGTAACCTATGTTATTCCTAACAGTCTTCCTCAATCGTGGAAGTTTCCTGAGAAACCTTGGATCAATTCCCTTCCTTTAGCCTAACCTATCTCAAGGGTGGCTGCTGTAAGGGGAAAAAAGTGGAGCAATTGATAGATGAATCTATGCAACTATAGATCGGTATACCCAATAAAACTAATTACCTTTGAATGTTGGTGTGATGAAGCAGGTAAGGTCTTTAACTACAGCTGTGGAGAGCCAAATTCTAGCCTGCCTTCAACCACTGAAGCACCCTAAGTTTCTTTGCAGCGGCCAACCTGTCTTTATGGGGAGAAATAAGAAGATGGAATGCTAAGTATTGTATACCGTCTTGAGCAATTGGAGGAAAATTGATATTTTAAATTGTACATCATCAATTACTGTCAGTTCTTAGTGATCCCATAATAGATTTTCTCTATCTGTCCCTAACCTGGTTTTTGAGGTTTTCCAATGCGGCACCATCACTGCTGGAACTGAATCTATACATCTTGCTTTGATCTCCTCCTCCTCCTCCTTTCCTTCCCTCCTTCCTTCCTTTCCTTCCCTCCTTCCTTCCTTTCCTTCTTTCTTTCTTTCCTTCCTTCCCTCCCTCCCTCCCTCCCTCCCTCCTTCCTTCCTTCCTTCCTTTCCTTCCCTCCTTCCTTTCCTTCCTTCCTTCCTTCCTTCCTTCCTTCCTTCCTTCCTTCCTTCCAGAGCACATCAACTCCCAGAATTTCCCAGCCAGCACGGAGCTGATCTCCACATATCTTAAGGTTGCTAAGTGAGAAGCACTGGTCTACAGACATCTCATTTTTACAAGACCTCTTTAGGATTTTATCATCTGAGATCTAAATATTGGAAAGGATGGTTTCACAACATACAGGAGTTAGATGATTGGCAGGAAATTAGTTGAACGTCAAACAAATCCTGGTCTGTTTGAGAGAAAAACTAACTTGGCGTTCATGGGCTGTATCAATTAGTTGTGGTATATAGCATACGCATGATCAGTTCAGCATGTCAAGAGAACACTGTCTGAAAATAATCAGCTCTGGCTATCTATGGCACTGATGCCCAATTTGCTTCAGGATTTCCCCTGCTTATTTTATTGCTGAGAAAAAGGGAAAGAATTAACTACAGTCTGCAGAAAACATTATTCCGGTCCAACCTACCAATAAGAGAATTGCATGCAATCAAAGGAAGTCTCGATTGAGGTTCAGAATGTTGCTTACTTGCTGCTACCTGGTTCTGAATGCAAATGTGCCTGGCTGATGATCCCTCAAGAACACAATTGCTTTTGTTATGTGCCATCAGGTTGGCGCTGATGCTTAGCAACCGTATAAATAGTCCTTCTCCAGGGTGAACTGTGCCCACTCTGGTCTTCCAATAGCATACCCATCACTGCTGCTAATTGAAAAAAAAAAAAAAACCCACACACACAGTGAAAACTGGATGTCATTCTACAGATCAGTTGAGATTGCACAGCACTGCTGTCTATTAAAAAGAACTTAGCTTGGAAATAGATTCGGACTCAAAAGTTCCCCACAGAGAACTTGTGGCTCAGTTAAGGAAGAGTTGTTGATGGCAACAGGAGAAAAAATACCCCTGCCAAGTGTCAGTTTTGGAAGCCATATTGAGACCAGATGCTGCCACGCTGCCACATTTTGAGCCTGAGAAAGTGGGAGGGGGGGAATTTCTTGGGGTGTATGTAGTTAAACATAATAACATTCTTTTTCTAATTCAAGGTCATGTTATTTTGCGCATAAGTGAGGGGAAGTTCTCAAGTTGGGTCGGATGGTAATTGGGGCGTGTGATGTGATGATGGCTGCAGGAGATGGATTTGTAGTTTTTACTTAACAGATAACAGTTAATCAGAGTTGGAAGGGACCTTATAGGTCATCTAGTCCAACCCACCACCCGTGGGAGACCCTACACCATTTCTGACAAATGGCAGTCCAATCTCTTCTTGAAAGTCTCAAGTGATGAAGCTCCCACAACTTCCGAGGGCAACTTCTGTTCCATGGGTTGATTGGTCTCACTGTCAGAAAGTTTGTCCTTATTTCCAGGTTAAATCTCTCCTTGTTCATTATTCACTACTTATCATATATTATTCACTACTTATTGCAAGGAAGCCTGGAACTTTCAGATTCGGGATTCCTCAGTTGTGCCAGTTTACTATCCAAAATAATATAACTGTTGAGAAGCCGCCTGTCTCAGAGTTATTTGTTGGAGTGGAGGTTTGCTGGAACCACTGACATCAAGTTTTGAAACAATAGGTGCTAGCTGTGCGAGTTAGGGGGCTGAGCTGTGTAGTCTGTTGCAATAAAATAAATACAGGTGATCCTCGACTTATGACCACAATTGAGGCCAAAATGTCTGTTCCTCCACGAGACAGTTGATCAGTGAGTTTTGCCCCATTTTATGACCTTTCCTGCCACCGTTGTTAAGGGAATCGCTGCAGTTGTTAAGTTAGTAGCTCAGTTGTTAAGTGAGTCTCATTGGCTTTGGTTGTGAGAAGGTCGCAAAAGGGGATCATATGACTCTGGGACACTGTAATTGTCACAAATATGAGCCAGCTGCCCGGTTTCTGAATTTTTATCATGTGACCATAGGGGATGTTGCAATGGTCATCAGTGTGAAAAATGGTCATAAGTCACTTTTTTTTCAGTGTGTTTGTAACCCTTTGAAGGATCACTGAACAAAATGTTGTAAGTCAGGGACTACCTGTACCGAGTCTGGTGACACCTTCAAGACCAACCAACTTGGGATGTTTGGAAACTTTATGTTTATACTGAGAAGGAACGGAAATTGATGATGCTTTCCCAGATAACCCTCAGATGGAAATTGCTGTGTTTCCCCGAGAACTGAATTAGACTATATGATAGACCTCCACCCCCCACCCCTCCCCATATAATGACTGAATAAGTTTTATCCCCTCCTTCAGTGGAAAATCCTTATGTAATTATATTATATGTAATTATATTTCAATGTCTACTAATAGATTGAAAACCTAAAACAATACAAGTATGTTTTCAGATATTGTGACTTTCTATGAAGAAGGAAGGGAGGGAGGGAGGGAAGGAGGGAGGGAGGGAGAGAGATTTTTATGAGAGAGGGAGGAAAAAAGGAGGGAGGAAGGAAGGAAGATTTTTATGAGACAGGGAAGGAGGGAAGAAGGAAGGCAGGCAGGCAGGTTTTTATGAGGATGGGAGAGAGGAAAGAAAGAGGGAAGGTTTTTATGAGGGTGGGAGGAAGGAAAGAAGGAGGGAAGGTTTATATGAGGGAGGGAGGAAAGAAGGAAGGAAGGTTTTATGAGGGTGGGAAGAAAGAAGGAAGAAAGGCGGGCAGGCAGAGAGGCAGGAAGGAAGGAAGATAATATTTTTTTTAGGAAGGGAGAGAAGGAGGAGGGAGGGAGGGAGGAAGGTCTACCCATTGATGCCAATTTGACAAATCAATTTAGGATTAGAGGCGATCTTCAAAGGCAGCCCCATGTAGAGCAAATTGCAGCAGAGCAACCAAGAAGTCACATGGCCAATTGCTTCTTTCTATATTCTTTCTGCCCTGTCTGTGCCCTCAGCTTGATTTCATATAGTCAAATGTTGGAATTACCCATTAAAAATGATTCACTCATCATAGATGATCCTTGTTCCTTCCAGATTTTTAGATTGTGTAGAACTGCCAAGTGTGCAATAGGCAGACAGCCTTCTATTTAATTGGTTCTTTTTTAAAATAAAAGATGCTCCTTCCTTTTTCCTTTCTGGCAGGTTCTTATATCGCCATTCCACCCCAACTAATGCACCTTCTTTCGATTTAGAATCAATTACCCTAGTTCTGACTACAGAGAGTCCTCAACTTACAGCTGCAATTGAGCCCAAAATTTCCTTTGCTAAGCAAGATCATTGTAAAGTGAGCTTTGCCTCATTTTACATCCTTTCTTGCCACAAATTTTTAAGTGAATCATTGCAGTTGTTAAATCACTAATAGGGTTGTTAAGTGAATCCGGCTTCCCCAGTGATGTTGCTTGTCAGAAGGTCATAAAAGGGGATCACTGCAACCATCATAAATATGGGTCAGTTGACAAGCATCTGAATTTTGATCCCAAGACCACATGATGCCGCAATGGTCGTAAGTGTGAAATACGGACACAATTCACCTTTTTCAGTGGTGTTATAACTTCAAATCCAGTGGTGGTATTCACATTTTTTTACAACTGGTTCTGTGGGCGTGGCTTGGTGGGCATGGCTTGGTGGGTGTGGCAGGGGAAGGTTACTGCAAAATCCCCATTCCCTCCCTACCCCACTAACCTGCTTTCCAGCTCCGTTCTCCTGTGATGACCCAGGGTGGGATACAAAATAAACACAGTCACGAAAACAGATGAAGCCCCTTTTATTCCTTCACTTTGTTTCAAAGCTCCAAATATCCTTGACTGGAGACAAAAAAACTCCCCCACAAAGCAGTTACGAAAAGGAGAAAATGCCTATAAATTATAAGAGTAAAACCAACACAAGCCACACTGTACCAATTAAGGGAACCAGGCAAGATCAGGGCTTGAAGACACCCACAGATATCAGAACACACACTGGGAAGGACGCCAAACTCAGAAAGGAACGACGGACTAGAGATATTTCCACGCTTTGTTTCCAGCACTGGCCCATACGCATGTCCGTCCTTTTAACCAGTTTTCACAGCTGCAGCCCATGAAGAGGATCAAGGCTCTTTCCTCCCCCATAGACCACACCATTCACGTCTCTCCCTTATCCTCCCTGCGTGCCCTAGGATGGAGAGGGGATTGGCCTGGGTCTTCCTCTAACTGCCCAGCCCTTCCCCAGCCTCCTCCACAACCTCTGGAGCCACACTTCCACTCCCTGTCGCCTGTTCCTCCTCTCCCTCAGAGTCAGTCTCCAACAGGAGCATGACATCCCCTGTGCAGGGCAACCAAAGGAGACCCAGCCGATCAGCTGGGACTCAATGGGAGGCAGAGAATAGATGGGGACGGGGCCAGTCAGAGGCGGGATTTGCCAGTTCTCCGAACTACTCAACATTTCCATTCTATCCAGAACTGATCAGAACCAGCTGAACACCACCTCTGTTCAAATGGTCACTAAACAAATGATTGTAAGTCAATGACTACCTGTCTTCAAGGATCTTTTACGAATACAAAGGAAAGGTTGAAAAACGGGGTAAGTCTCACTTAGCAACTGTCTCACTTGGCAACAGAAATGCTGGGCTCAATTGTAAGTGGAGCACTAGCTGATATTGACAAGAATGACGCTCAGTTTGTTTGTGTAGATCTGGGAGCGGGGAGAAGCCTATTGTTCATTTTTTCAAAAGATTTTGCTAAAGGACCCCAGCAAATGCAGGAAGCAGAACGGTTTGGGTGGGGAGGCAAGGAAGAAAATCTCACCACTTTCCATTCTTTCTCCTTCAGCTCACGTGTTAAAGTTCGACACTTTCGTTCACGAGCAATCGCGGAAACCTGTCCCCATCCGGGAGGAGGAGGAACTGAAGGCTGGAGAGCCTGGTCCAATGGGTCAGACTGGTTTCCCTGGAATTAAAGGTGAAAGAGGAGAAATTGGGATGCCTGGACTTCCAGGAAGAAATGGATACCCGGGAGAAAGAGGTAAAACAACAAAATTGCTGCAGTGGGGGAAATTAGGAGGAGGAAGGATTCAACAGAACAAATAGGACCTTGGAGGTCTTCAAGTCCAACCCCCTGCTCAAGCAGGAGATCTTATATCATTTCAGACAAATGGTTGTCCAATCTCTTCTTTAAAACCTCCAGTGTTGGAGCATTCACAACTTCTGGAGGCAAGTTGTTTCACTGATTAATTGTTCTCACTGTCAGGAAATTTCTCTTAGTTCTAGGTTGCTTCTCTCCTTGATGAGTTTCCACCCGTTGCTTCTTGTCCTGCCTTCAGGTGCTTTGGAGAATAGCTTGACTCCATCTTCTCTGTGGAAGCCCCTGAGATGTTAGAAGACTGCTATCATGTCACCCCTGGTCCTTCTTTTCATCAAACTTTAATGGTAGATGGAGGGTCGCACTGTAAGCTCCACCCTTTTTGTGCGCGCATCCCACAGAGCAGCAGTGGGATCCTGCCTGTTCCACTACCAGTTTGGTGATTGCACGCACACGCACCTAACAAGCACAGCTTTCCACACACCAGCTGAGACCTGCAGCGCCAATCAGCAGTGGCGGAGAAAGAAGAGAAAAGCGCAGGGGCGGATGGGAGGGCCAATCCTGCGCTTTTCTCTTATTTCTCCTCTCAGCCAATCAGCTTTTTTCTCCTCCTCTCAGCTGATCGCCAGGGGCTTTTTTTTTTTACTACCAGTTCGGCTGAACCGGGCCGAACCGGTAATATACCACCACTGCCGCAGAGGTATGAAAGAGACAGCCTTTGCATGGTGATTTTCCATCTATCCTCTTGGTTCCTGTCTGTTGGGAGCAGGCAAATGCATACCAGTTGGTTTTATTTTCAAATTAGATCATTCCTATATCTTCAGAAGAGGGGGGGGGCTAAGTAGCAACACCTATTTGGGTGGTCTCTCCCCCATCTTCTTGTTGTTGTTCAGACACTAACTAAATCATGTCCAATTTTTCATGACCCCATGGACCACAGATGCCAGCCCCCCCCCTCCATCCTCCACTGTCTTTTGGAATCTCCCAAACTCATGTTCATTACATGGATGACCCTATTTAACCATCTCCTCCCCTTCCCTCCCTTTCTCCTTTTGCCTTCCATCTTTCCCAACATCAGGGTCTTCTCCAATGAGTTCTCTCTTCTCATTTGATGGCCAAAAATATTTAAGCTGCTGGTCCCGTCTTGACTCAGAGCTAAACATGTTGAGAAGACACGAGTCTTTATTGCAAATAAGAGGTCATATGTCTCCATTTGAGGATCGATCTATGCCCTGCTCTCTTATTTTGAACACTGCTGGGTTATTCTTAGATCCCAAGAAGGTGATTATAGACAGAAAAAGTCTCTGACAGCAAGAACAGATATTTAAGCTCCCTTGGTGATGTATTTTACTTCAGCTTGCAGGCCACAGACAAAGTTGCTGATTTAATTGACCAGCAAAGAAAGTAGATCACACACCAATCTGTCACTCAGCCTTCTTCTTCTCCTTCTCCTTCTCCTTCTCCTTCTCCTTTTTTTTGATTCATGATCTGATGATCTGCCCTTACATCTTAGGAACAACTCAAGTTGGTTACAGATGCCACTGATTATATAGATCTGAATGTCCAATCTAGGCAACTCTAAGATTTGTAGATTTCAGCTCCCAGAATTCCCCAGCCAACCATGCCATGCTGGGAGTTGAAGTCAACAAGTCTTAAGGTTCCCTGATATACTTTAGATGTTCTCATAGCTGATCTTTCGGAGTGAATCAAACAACGTTTTTGCACCAGCTGTCCAAAAAGTTCCACAGAAAGCTGTCCAAAAAATTAGGACGGGGATCACAATGCGTGTAAAAGAAATTTAAAAAGATGGAACTTTGACTGCACGGTTGCTCTTCGATTTAGTCTGAGGTCTCCCTTTTAATTTCATTTACAAGTAGAAGTCAACATTATTCTACTCAGGAATGGATTTGCTGTGAAGCCAGAAAGGTGTCTTTAGATTGTACAATGAGCTGAATGGAGCAGAATGAGTCCAGTTGAATTAAGAATCTCACACCCTTGGCTAGCTTCAAATGAAGACCATCAATGAATCTCTATCACTGGAGGTTTTCGAGAAGAAAATGGACAGCCATTTGTCTGAAATGGTATAGGGTCTCCTATTTGAGCGGGGGGGGGGGGGTTGGACTACAAGACCTCCAAGGTCCAACCATATTATTCCATGTTCTAAATGGCTCTTCTCCTCCATCAGGTGTCCCTGGGCCCAAGGGAGAAAAAGGCTCTTTTGGACAAAGGGTGGAAGGTTCTGAAGGACCAAGAGGTCAAGCAGGTATAGTCATTCATCTCTGAAAATATATATATATATATATATATAGGCAAACAGTCCTTATTCTGCGTTCTGTGCAACTGCAGAACCAACTATCCAGAGGGATGATGGGTTCCTCCTTCCTGAATGTGTATATATATGTTCAAGCTAGAGTTCATCAGGGAGGGTCTATGACAGGGGTGTTAAACTCAAGGCCTGGGGGTCAGATTCGGCCTGCGGGGTTCTTAGAGCTGGCCTGTGGGGCCACCCTGGAAACAGCAAAGGACCAGCCTGTGGTGCCTCTGCCAGCAAAAATGGAGCTCTCCCGAGATCCGTTTTCGCTGGCAGAGGGTTGCAGAAGGCCATCACAGCTGAAAGCACAGCTCGGGAGCGCGGTTTCTCTGGCTGAGTGCTTGGGCCATCACAAGCACCCTTGACCTGAGTGACATCGAGCTGGCCACGCTCACTCTGCCCCCCCCCGAGATCAAACACAACCCTGATGCGACCCACAATGAAATCGAGTTTGACACCCGTGTTCTAAGGACAACTCGCCAGAGTCAACTTGCTGTGGCCAACTTGCCACAGTCAACTCACCAGTGGTGGGATTCAAAAAATTTTACTACTGGTTCTTGGGCGTGGCATGGCTTGGTGGGCGTGGCTTGGTGGGCATGGCAGCGGAAGGATACTGCAAAATCCCCATTTCCTCCCCATCCCACTCACCTGCTTTCCAGCTCTGTTCTCCTGTGCAGGGCAACCAAAGAAGACCCAGCCGATCAGCTGGGACTCAATGGGAGGCAGGGAAGAGATGGGGGCGGGGCCAGTCAGAGGTGGGATTTGCCGGTTCTCCGAACTACTCAAAATTTTCGCTACCGGTTCTCCAGAACTGGTCAGAACCTGCTGAAGACCACCTCTGGAACTCACTGTGGGACAAAAGTTACATAACATTAAAGAAATGGTGGCATAGAATCATTAAAGAAAGGGTGCAAAATGAGGGATAAATTGAAATGTGAATGACAAAAATTTAAATAACTTTTATTATTTTAAATAATTAAATAAAATGGTTACATTGTCCAGCAGTGAGTTGGCTGTGGCGAATTGTCCTGTGGTGAGTTAGCCATGATGATCTGGTCACGATGAGTTGGCCATGGTGAATTGGCTGGGGTGCGTTGTCCCATTCCTGCATCAGGGAGGGGTGCTTTAATGGTTAATGTCTTGGCAACGCTAAGTTTTGTGGACTTCAACTCCTGGAATTCCTATGCTGGCTGGGGAATTCTGGGAGTTGAAGTCCGCAGGTATCTCGCCAAGAAATCTGCATGGATGCATCATTTGTATTGTCCACTTAGTTTTCAACTTCCCTCTCAGTTTTCCTGGTGATTTCACATCCAAGTACTAAGCATGTCCCATCTTCTCATTGTATTTTGGAGAACGGATGAAGCCAGCTACTATAGACATTGCCACCTTGACTGAGTCTTATAAGATTAAGACTCAGCCATTCTTTTCCAGCAATTTCTCCTATTTCTGTGGGTTTAAGCCAAAGGTTATCATTAGTGTCAGAGTACATTCATGAACTGGCATAGAGCTTGGTAACCAGGTCAGCCAATGAATAGGCATAGCAACTAAGTCAGCCATTGAGGACTGTTTTGGAAACTGAAACTAGAATTAGCCTAGGCTGGAAACTGAAACTAAAAGTAGCCTAGGGGTGGCTCTGTTAGGGTTTGAGGATTAACCCCTAGAAGAGTATTGCAGCAGTAGT